GACAATTATCCACAGACCAGTCAGGATGAAGTCACAGCCACCCCTGCTTAGCACATGGATGTAGTACAGGGAAGAAGCACAGCGATCTTTTTCTTATTAACAATTTTAATTAACTTTTAATTGATTTCCACAAGATAAAAGGTTTCATTACCAAGCCTTACAATGAACACTTCCACCGGAATGAAACATTCGGGGAAACTTCCTGACAACTGTTCTGAAAACAAAACATGCAAATCTCTCATGATCATCCCAGATGTCATTTATAAAGGCAAATAAATGAGAATGCCTTGCTCACAGGATGCCCTTTGTTTCATTTACATAGCCTTATTCATCACACCATAATTTAATTAAGAGGAGGAAAAAAAGCAGGTCAGCATTCGAACCTGGGAGCTCTTGGAAAAGCATATGAATTATGTCCATCCCTATAAGGACAGTCATGAATTAATTGGCTGCTACCGAAATCGGAGGTTCAGTGTGGGAGAACAGAGACACCAACTGAACAAACCTAAACAGTTTTCTGCTGCAATGACTGGCCTCTTCTGAGAGTAGAGGAACAAGGATGAAACATGGTAACATTTGGTTTTGAAGAACACGATGAACAAACTGTAGAAAACTAAGTAGTTCTTCAGAGAGCGGCGATTAAAACATCACTGGATGTGACAAAACGTGTTAAGGGAAAAGCCAAATTCTAACTAATGTGTCCATTCCAGCTGTCTGCATCCATCCTCCATCTAAGGACATAGTCCAGAACGATTTGGGCAGCGCTGAAACACCCAAATCAAACGGTGTCAAACAAAAATTCCCCTCAGACACCACCTGAAGATCCTCCAGCATTAGGATTATCCGAGGGCTCGGCTTCACAAGCATCTGGTTTGTCAAGCTGGGCCACAGCACAACACATGTTCAGACCAAGAATCCCTCCCTGATGTTTTGGCATCTGCTCCTGACTTTTCCAGTCAATGCTTTCTCTCAAAATCTCTCTGCTGGGAGGAAGGGCAGGATGTCAGCTCTGGGGCCTCTCCACAAACCAGTTTCTGTGGCAGTTTTCAGCTCTACCCACGACATACAAATCACAGATGTTATTTTTCTCTGGGCTACACAAATAACCTTAGTAATTTCTTCTATTAGCTAAGGTCCATTAGGAGTAAAAAGAAGTATCAGGGAAAGCACTGAGTCCAAAATTGGCTGGGTTTTTTTCTATTCCCCACAGTGCAGCCTCACTGAACCCCCTCCACTCCTGATCTCCTGTGTGTGCAGGCCACACACAGAGCACGTTTCCTCCCCTGCAATAAGCCAAAGCTGTCAAAGTTGGGGGCAGCACAAGTGATAATCCATGTTTCCAGAGAGGATCACTTACTCTTCCCCCTCCACAGTGGGATGTGAACACCTGACAGCTGCAGAACAAACTGACTCATTTCTGCTACAAGATTTTTCTGTTGCATCCAGCCCTAACCCAACTCCTCCTTCCCTTCATCCCCACAGTTGGCAAAGGGAAGGAAAGTTCCAGTGCCTGTAGAGGCAGAAGTGGTGATATTTAGTGTGCATGGTGGGATTTGGCCAAAGGTTGGACTTGGTGACCTTGGAGGTCTTTTCCCACCTTAGTGATTCCCAGAGCATGAAGGAGCCTGGGGCACCCTCAGCCATCACAGGAGCACTCCTGCAACACCTGGGGGTCCAGCACAGTCCCCCCAGGACCTGCCAGGCATTCTGGTGTTCCACCACCTGCAATCACACGCAATCCCTGGGAAATGGGGAGAGGGAACTAAGCTGATTTTGCTTTGCTGGGAAAAAGAATAATTTGGAAACATCCCCCTGCATGCTCAGAGGGAAACTGGTCCAAGCAGCCTGACAGGGAAATTTACTGCCCCAGAGTTACCCAACTGAAGAGCTCATAAATTCCCTTCAGCCAGTGTGGCCAAAACCCAAAACGGACACATTTGTCAGGATAGAGGAGCCTGTTTTACCTAAGTTTAAGGTAAATGTGTTTTGTTTTTGTTTTTTGTTTTTTTTTTCAATTAAGAACATCTGCAGGAGCATAAATTAGACTTAAAAAAAGAAAATAAAACAATCCCTTACTGACTGGTCTTTCTTGCCAGTGCTGCAAGAGACACAGAAAGGTGAGGTGCCCGTTTCCACCTCTCCCATCCCACAGAATCATAGAACCCCTGAATGGTTTGGATTGGAAGGGACCTTAAAGATCTCCTTGTTCCACTCCTTGCCACAGGCAGGGACACCTTCCACTAGCCCAGGTTGCTCCAAGCCCCGTCCAACCTGGCCTTGGACACTTCCAGGGATCCAGGGGCAGCCACAGCTGCTCTGGGTAACCTTGGTCAGGGCCTCCCTGCCCTTACAGGGAAGAGTTTCTTCCCAATATCCCATCTAACCCTGCCCTCTGGCAGTGGGAAGCCATTCCCCCTCGTCCTG